TTATTTTGATTTAAACGTAGTTATATTTATATAATATATATCGGTACATAATAAACAAGTATCTATTGTAAACTCAGTCTATAGCGATTATGTATTCAAAACAAAAGTTTAAAGATTTAGATGTTACACCTAGAATTTATAACGGGATTCGTATTAAAATTAAATTTTTATAGTATTCAATTTTATACTTTAAAAATAATTTTATTTACAAAATACAAAATATAATATAATATTAATCGTGTATTTAAAATATGTTATTATATGTTGTTTGTTTATATGATTTGTAATGAATATAATTATATTGGATATAATAACATACACTTTAAACGACACTGAATTGGATATCTGAATAATGAGTTTTTTTTAATAATTAATATTGAATGAATAATTAATTATTCACATCTCTTAAAAAAGTTTGTAGCACTATTTCCACTATATTTATATTTTAAGATTAAGCAAAGATTAAATCGTAGAATAATTAAAAATATATATCTATTTTTTTCTTTGTTTCTAAATATTTGTAAGACCGTTGACATTTAAGCATTTTAATACAAATATATAAACTATTGTGTGTACGATATTCAATTTCTTTTTAATTTTAAATTTTAAAAAGAAAATTCATTTTAAAAATTATCTATATGTAGCATTTATAAAAAATCCCTCTTCTGTTGTTTATGACAGGTACGTTATTGTAATTTAACAAGATATATAATATCAATGTATGGTTATAAATTATAATATGATAATAGGTAGGTATCTAATCATACGTAGCAATGATTAACAAAATAAAACGTTTGTGCATATATTTTAGCTCAGACATGCTCAAGAGTTAAAATAGGTTTATTTATATATAATTCCCTTGCGAAAAAATTCAAATAATTTACTAACTACACCCATATATCGCGTGTAAATATTCTCTAAAATGCGTAGTACTTAAATTTCTACTGAGCTGTTTAATGATTTATAGGAAAATGTACATTGAACACGATAAAAATATTAAATTACAATATTATAATATATATTAAATTTTAAAGTTGAATTTTTATTTCATTAATCATTACACATTTTAATAAATTTATACAAATTAATAGTTAATTTAATTTCTTATGAATTTAACATTAAGTTAATTCCTTAAAATATGTGATATTGTTGTCAATTTTAAAATGATTTATAATTACCTATTACAAAATCAGATATACTTTAATCATAAGAAAAATATCATTATTTAAAGTTCAAGCCGTTCAAGGTAAACTTTATTGTGTTGATTAGCATCTATTAGAATTCAACCATAAGCATCTAAAGTTAAAAATAGAAAAAATCTATTATATATGTGATCTTAATGATGTTTTTTGCAAATATTAATTTAACATTATAAAATACAAATTGTTATATTATTTTATTCATGGATATATTATAATGTATAAAATAACTTAACATATCAAAAGAATTTTATACTTTATAATTTATAGTAAAATACTATACAATATAAATCAAACTGAAAAATTTTATCATGAATATCAATCCACTGTTCAATTTTTAAAACGTTTAGATTGTAATATAGATTTACTAAACAATAAATGTAGAATAAACATACAATAGTTCACGTAAATATTATTTAAAGGTATTGGTTATTAAACTGAGTTGATTTTTTTTTAAACTACGTTTGGTTTTGAATTAATGATTTCAGATTTGTCATGATAAGATTTATTAATAATTTTGAAACCTCTTCAACCAACTAATTATAATATGTATACCTAGTTCATTATTCACTAAAATATCATTACACCCTTTAAAGTATATTTATATTTTTTATTTCAAGGATAAGTACCTATATGTATTATATATAAACATATTCAACATTCTACTCGTTACTTTAACTGTAGTATGATTGAAAATTGAAATCCTAATTATTATATCCTGTACTTATGTATCATATAGCTAATGTTGACTGTCAAGGATTTCCTCCGTTTATTAACTGAAGCGTATCATTTACCGGATACATTATATTGTACCTCTAATCTTACGATGAAAATCATTTAAAAACTACGAATTTTGAATATTATCAACACACTTAACGGCATATTTACAGGGGGGGTGGAGAATTATCCTCAAAAGGTTATTCAAAACAATATTTTGATAATAATTCTATAAATGAATCCAAATGATATTCAATTTAATATTTAAAGCTTGTGTCAGCTTGTTACAGTGGCTACTCTGAAAGATCTGATATTACAGTTAAAGAGTCAAAGAATTGATTTCAAAAATGATGTAAAAGATACAAAAAATACAATAACTTATTTAAAAATACATAAGAACGAATGTAGAAACAGAATTTAAAATAATATATTACTTAGTGGAGGTACCTTTATTTTAACTAAAATTATATAATTTTGATGAAAATTAACTCATATTTTTTCCTATGTAAATAGCAAAGATTATTAATGTAGAAATTAAATGAAAAATAATAATAAATATAAAAAACACCGAGCTAATTATGAAAACTTGGAATTACTTGATTTTTTTCAAAGTTTTAATAATTATACTATATTATATTGATAATTTTACTTCTTAACTAGAATTAAGATTTCTGGATCATAAAAAATTATTTTAAGGTAATTTAAGTAATTCATTTTACTTTTTTTCTATAAAAAATGTGGGGTTGTATAAACTAAATGGTTCATTAATTATTATTTTTCAGATCATAAAATATGTTTATTTTATTTATTTTCTGTTAATTCTTCAGTATTAAAAGAAAAACTTTTGTGTAATTCGACAAATTTTTCCAAGATAAATAAATTTTTAAAAATTGAGTTTACATAACTTGTTTTCACATCGAATACTGAAAAAATATTTTCAACAAAAAAACGTGTAAACAACTATTTATGGATAACTATAGGGTACATTTTTAAATATATTTTACACTTACTGTTGATTATGTTTCTTAATTGTTCATTGAAAATGACTTGATTTGGTTGCTTTTGGTATATAAATATATAACTATAACAACAGATAAGGTAAAAAAAAAAAAAACCCAAAAAAATGTGTACATACATGAAAAATGTTCATTTATATGAAATAGGTATATTATATAAAATAATATTATAAATTTAAATGTATAATAAAAATCCTAAATACGCCTCTGAGTACACTCAAAACTAACTTAAGATTTCATTAGATAATAATATATTTTATACATTTCCCAAAACATAGTAAACATAACTTATAGACTGCTGTAATATAAATTTGTATCTACATCGTTGATAAATCGTTCCATTAAAAAATTCCAGTTGTATAAAACTTATTTAAGTTAAAAAATTAAAATGTTTAATAAAAAAAATAACTGATCTTATTTATTACATATCACATATAATACATTTTAATTGTTAATTCTTTCATGACGTAAAACTAAGACAATAAATCTAAAATCACAACAGCGTAAATAAATTATTATGACATAATTAGCGTTCATAAGTAATATAATATATTATATTCGTAGTTATATGGGTTATTCATTTTTCAAAATAGTGTAAGTTAACAATAAACGTATTATATAAGAGTGTAAGGTAGATATAGGTATCCTAACCTAAACTAATTTAAGTATACATATTAGGATACATTTTTTAAGAATTAAATATTAATGTGCTATACATTTTATTTGCCATTTTTACAGTAGTTTTTATTTCTTAGCTAAATTATTCGAAAAATAGTGACTGATTTAAAATATGATAGGTACTGTTTGTTATAATAACTTTATGATAAAAAACACTAAACACTTTCGGAAAGAAAACGTTGTCTTATACATCAATATAGTAAAAAATGAATTCCTTGCTCCAAATCGAAAACACTAATCCATGTCATTGGTTTGCCAAGCAATTTTTGTTATCCCTGATATTATGGGTTATAGACACAGATATATATATATATATATATATATATATATAATATGCGTGGTTATTGGTAATTTGTGTATCATAATTAAAAAAAAAAAAATTGTCAACTAGAACACTAGTTATAAATTTATCTATTGTGTATGCTACTACAACATAATTGTATACTATACTATGATCGTAACTCGTAATCTTATAATAATAATAATTAACAAATAATTATCCTATTTTTAAATTAAGTTAAGCCTAAAATGGCTTAAACAACTTGCATTGATGATTTAATAATACATTAAAATGTTCATTAATTAATTAAATTATTGTTGATCTTATCCTTTTCGACCATAATAGTTGTTATTTATAAATTGTCCCTCGACAAGATTGATCCAAACCAATAAAAAATGTATTTAAATAACTGCAGATTTAATTACGTTTCATATTAGCAGTGTCTACAAGCTTTAAACTTTAATGCACTTAGTATAGCAATAATTGTAGATGGACAACTGTCGTAAGATAATAATGTATGATTGCATAACAATGTAATGCCATTCGTATTATATAACGTCGATCACTCGGTAGATTCAGGTAAAATTCTTGGTTTTTATCATAGTATTACGAGATTGAGGTATCCCCCGGAAAGTCGGAGGTAAAAGACTATTGGTCTTGCGTAGGTCGCCGACGTGGCGTCGTCATATTATATTATAACATTATAATAGTGACAATGATGATGATAATAATAATAATAATAATAATAATAATAATGACAACAATAACAATACGATCGCGCACAAAACGAAAGTATTACCTATACTCCTCTCATTATTATATACCTTTACGACTATTATTATAATGAGACGCACGTGACAAAAGTTTAACGGCGGCGACAGACAGCGCTGCGGTCGAGGGTCAGCGAAGGTCGCTCTGCCGCCGCCGCCGCCACCGTTTCAGACGACGACCGCTGCCATGGTACGCGGGGAGGTGACGCACGATACGTCGTGTGAAAAACCAAATCTCCGCCGCCCGCGCCTTCTGGGGATCGATTTTTCGACTGCGACACACATCGCCGTCGCCACCACCAGTTGATTCACGTTTTCGACCGGACGCGCGCGTCTGAACCCACCACCGACCGTAACCGAGCGCTGCCCGGCCATCGCCACCGCCACCGCCGCCGCCGCCGCCGTAGACTGTAGGGTCAAAATAATCGCATCCCATATCGCTCGAACGCGTGTGTTCGTCCGTCCGCGTCTGTCTCGCGTCACACGCGCTCGCGCCACAACGTACGCCCATACCGTACGCCGCCGTCGACGTCGCCGCACGCGCCGCACACAAGGTGCTAGCGTTTTCGCGGTCAGTCGCAAAATATTGTAAAATATTAAAACAATATTTACATCGCCATTGGATTTCGCACCCGCGAGCTATAGAAGAATAAGGAGGAGAGAATTTGTCTGGCCGGCTGAGATACCAGGGCACTGGGAACACATTGAATTTCCGGTGAGTAACAATAATAGTATTATTATCATGTCTCGTAATACTTGCGCAGGTATATCATCATAAACGTCATGCGTGTTTCCTAAAAAAAAAATCACGTTATCATAGTGATATACTTTAATGATATGACGTGATAAACACGAGCGATCGACCTTCCTTTTACTGTTTCTTTACCGAAATAATGCTCGCTCTCCCGCGAATTTCTTGGCATTTTATGCGCGAATTTATTATTGGTGCACTGCTCGCAGGTACCTGCGTAATGCGCGTTCCGATGCAACGGTTATTTTTACGACGCAGGTAATTTTTTTCCCTTGCGCTTTCTCCGCTAGTTATGACTATATATATATATATACATACACATAAAATACTGTTTAATATTATTTTTGATATTATATGATTTATTAAAATGTTTCAACAATAGAAGTACCTACATTGAGTGTGATACGATTTCTTTCGTTCCAAACTCAAACATAATATATACTCTGCAAACAGATTAACGAAATGTTACTCCATTTTGGTTTTTTTTAAATTTAATTGCTTCTGAAAATTAATTGTTAATATACAAATAAGTAAAACTATATGTGCAAATCGCACATTTATCATTACCATGTGAGCAACTTGTACTTTCCAACATTACAACACATTGTTGAGACAGATTTAAAATTAGAATAATTTTAAGCGAATGAATAAAGGCCGGCTATTAAAACCATTAATTTGCCCTATGCCAACGACAATAGTTGGCACTTTTTATCATGGTCAAGGATTTTTGGAAAAGTTACAATTTACTTACCTATTTTACCTTCCGGTTTCACTAATTTTTAAAGATACAGTGAAGAACTATACTATTGTTTAATAAACAAACACACAGTCTTAATTATCACGAGCTTCCAATTCTTATAATATATAAACCTATAACTATCTACAATTAGTTCATTTATAATACAGTTCAATATAAGAAATGAAATATTCTTTTATAATAAATAATTTCAATAAAATTGTTGTAAAAAATGTATACATTTATATCTACAAATATCGACCAATAAGTTCTTTTTAATTGAAACAGATGATTGATTGCAAACATTTAGGAGCCTCTGAATAAAGTAAATTAAATCTATTACTAAAAAAACTAAATTATTATATTGGCAATATAAATGGTTAGTGAGTGGTTCATGAGTGGCTGGTGAAAAGGGGTGCTAAAATAAATTGGCCCCAATGTCCCAAACATGTGAATTTGATTCTGGTTACTTTAAAAACCTTTAATTTATAAATATTAATTATTATGGTTAATATTATATTTAAACGTTATAAGTATCGATTATATTAATCAATTATTTTTATCATTATTATTGAATATATCATGTTTTATACACATTTATATTTAACATTTAATAAGTACTAAAATATACTGTTTTAAGCTTGGCAAAAACTTAGTTTAACCTTAAAATAATATATTTTGTTAAATTTTATTTTATAAAGTAAAATGTATATTAAACAGGAAGTACACTTCCCCAATCGTGACCTTAACCTTGTTTTAAATAAAAACCTGTTCAGTAGATATCGTATAAATGGCTAAATAATAATAATATATACTATTATATAATCTTCACGAGTTCATGATATTATTAATACTAAAAATTATAATTACACCGTGCCACCGCAGTTACTGTCATATATTTTAATTGTGATCGGCAATATAATTTTATGGCACCACCAACTATCAATTTGTTCTCTTGGTTTAAGACGAACATATCATTGAACTATCACGATTTTGATTGGTTAAGTATATTTTTTTTGTTTCGTGATTTAATTTAATATTGAATAAAAATTCTCCTATTATATAAAAAAGTATTTTGTATTATACAGGCATATCTATACAATATACATAATATGTTACGAGCTATGATGATCATACTAATATATTTATCAGATTTAATTAATTCGGAATACAATTTTTAATGTTACAAATTGGTATACGCGTACAAAAATAAAAGCTAGACCTTTCAATCAGAAATCTGGATATATTCTTTATAAATATATGTCAGTAAAATACGATGGCATTTACAACTTATTGCGACGTTGCCATATTAAGCATAATGGTATAATTTAATTTTGAACCCATAAGTTTTCAATTTAGTTGTAATTAGTTAGTATGAGCAAATATAATATGAAAAAAAATGCTAAGTCATTTAATTTGACTTGGGCTAAACGTTATTAATAATTTCCTAAAATATTACTAAAATGTAATTAATGTATACAATCAACAGTCAATATAAAAATAATTTATAATTGTTTAGGCTTATAAAAACCTGGCTAAGTTTACTTAAATAATTAATTAATTCGTCAGGTTTTTTTTTGTATATATTGATAGTTTTACCATAAAGTATTTTATATTTTGTTGCCTTTTTATTAACAAAAACACGTATTTCGTTTATTGATTTGATGATAATATTGATAACTGATATTATTACTGTAGTATTAGTATTTAACTTAACTGCATACGTTTAAGTACATAAATGTATAGGTGGGAAATTCAAAATAACGATAATTATCATTATGGCATTAATTATTTTAGAATTTATATTATCGTGTTATTAAATTAGACAACATGTACAATTGTAAACACTAAAAGGGATACGCGTGTAATTGTATTTTACCATGTTATATGTAACTTATAAAAAAATAACAATAAATTCATATATTTTGAGCAGGTATATAAAGTGTGTAGAGATGTTTTTCTTAAAATTATATTCCATGTTGACTATGTGAGATTTTACAGATAATTCACTATAGACCATGGTTCCATAAACCTATAAATAGATAAATAAAAAAAAAAACTTAATTTGTATACTATTTTATTAGATATTTTTTCTAATAAATATAATTAAAATTATATTTATAAAAATTGAATTTAATTACTTAAAGAATAATTAAGGTTAGGTTTTTATTTTTTGTTTATTATTTCTTATCTATTTATATATTGACATATATATATATATATATAATTATATATAACCAAAATATATAGCATAATAATAAAATATAAGAATTTTATTTTTATTTCATATTTTTTTCTTTTAATTTTTTTTTTTTTGTGTCTTTTTTGTATTTGTATTTTTAGTTTACTTGATCGTAATTTTTTCATGAATCTAGGTATAATATTAATGAATGCCTATATAAATAAGTACATGTATTTTATTATAGTTTGTATTATTAAATATTTACCTTTATCTAGAATTATCTACTTGAAAATTATTACATAATAGACTAATATTTTATAAAATGTATAAAATAATTGTATTTGCATAATCAAGTGTAGGAAAAGTAGCTTAATAATAATAAATATTTTAGGTGATATCAATTAAAAATAATGTTTTCATATGTTTATTAGCATAGTAACCGTTAAATTAATTTTCTGTTCGAAAATAATTGCTAAAATTCTGTTAGATGATATTTTGTATGCGTTTTTAAAAATATTTGAATATCATGATCAGGTTTATCTATATGTATATATATAAATATAAAATAATATTAAAAATATTGTACCGATAAAAAATAAAAATTAATAAATGCACAACAAAGAAATAATCTAATACATTCCTAAAGTAAAAACACCGCCAGAAATATTAAAACTCTATAAGAATATAATAATATATATAATAGGTGCATAGGTTAATGCATTAATGTACAAAAAGTAAACTAGATAGATATAATTTAGCATCTATGTTTAAAATCAATCGTAATCACCAGTATGTGATTAAACAGACAATTATATTAGGTTTTTTAAAAACAAATTGATGTATTTAGGCTTGTTTACATACATTTTGTCTTTTTGAAATATGATAACGTAAAAAATTAAATCTTTCACTGCTTCCACACCTTGTTGTTACATGTTATTATGTTAAGTTCATGTCACTTGTTGTCTCGGTTCATTGCATTTTAAAAATGTATTGTACTTTAACCGTTTCACTTCCATTCTGTAGCCTACAATTGTATGTCATATTGCAATATCACTCGTGGAGTTTTGAACTATGAAAACAGTCAACAATTTATATTTTAAACGTCACCTAATGTATCTAAATATTTAACCTGTGTATTAATATATATGTGTAAAACGAAGAGATTTATTAATACATTTGAAACTATTAATAATCTCATTTATTTTTTTTAAACATAATTATATGATCTTAATACTTAAACCATAGTACCTATACACTTTAGCTTGAATAGAGTTTTACCTTTCTAAAAATATAAAGGAATTCGTAACGATAAAGAAGACAATAATTACCCAATGACTACTCAATGAAAGTAACAATTGTTTTTGCTATTTTATCGTTATCTCGTCTTGAGTTAGTGCAATTCGTTATTATTACATTATTATTTCACTGTTAGAATATGCCAATTTATTGCCACATAATTTTCACTTGTGACTTTATACATTTGAATCATAGTTTATCACATTCAGTAGATTCATTTAAATAAAACAAACAATATAATAGTTATTGCAGAACTTATTTTTCAATTAATCCGAATTTAATAAAACTAAAAACTAAATCGACTAATACATTAAAAATTTTCATACTTTTTAGAAACAATAATAATTAGGTATATTATATTTAATCCTTAAACCAAAATTTATTTACTGTATGTAAATTTAAAACACCTAGATAAAAATGTTATTTAATTTAAAATAAATTATAAAAAATAATTTATAGGATAACGATTCTTATAGTTTTAGTTGAAATTTTGCAGACGTTGGATTTTGAAGGTATTTTTACTTTTAGACATCTAATTATTTGCACACATCCATCGTCTAGACAACATAACCGTTTAGGTATTTCAGTATAAAAGCAGAATATAAATGGCTGGATTGAAATAATACCAGTCGCACCCATTTCTCGTCCCTTTAACATTCGATGAAAGTGACAATGACGCCATATACACGTATATATAAAATCTACAATTCAGGTAATATAAATTATTATTCCATTGTATACGCATAACGT